GGATGTGTGCTGATGTATGTGCTTCAGTGGACTGCTCATATCTTCCTACCTGTTGGCATTTTTTATTGTATTCTGTCACTATAGCATATGCAGTTCTAGTATAGGAAGGGGCATCAGTGGTAGCAGCTCCTGCAAAACAGATTTTCAGATGGTCGTGTTTCAAAATGCAGTGTTGTAACAAGGAGGACAACCAAGCTCCTGCCCCTTTGACATAGATATAACAGTAGGTGCTGTTTCAATGCTTTGGTTCCTGTCACTACCAGACACTAGAGCCATTTGTTTTGCTTGTTTCTTATTTATGATTTTGGTATATCCATCAGATACTTTACTTGGTCCTTTGCTGTATGTGGTAGCACCTGTAAAAAAGGAAAACAACTGGAAATCAGATGTTTTGTTGTGTTAACAGGAGATTGAATTATGTTTATTCTACTAGGAAAAGAATTGCTTCCTGACCTCTGGAAACTGATGTTTAGTGCTTGTTCAGTAGCTGTCCAACAGTAAAGACTGTTGTTTTTTTGCATGTTAAAGCTTCTGCTCCTCTTCAGAGCAATAAGAAAATGCCTTCAACTAACTCAGTTAGACCAAGCATGTGAAATACAGCACGCTTAAGAAATGCAAAAGCCGCTTATGGGTGTGTTTATATGAAGTCTAATCAGTTCCATACTGTTTGCACTCCTTGGCACATGTACTTAGGTCATTTATGGCATATTCTAATTCAGTCCCCACCCAGTGGCTTCTTAATAAGCCAGCCGGGAGGTAGTGAGACTTAATGTGGAAAACTCCTAACGTGCCAGTGGGATACCAGTTGTCTGCTTTGTAGCAGCTCTTTGGAAAGCTAGAAATAAATGCCTTGAAGTGGTGGGATTTACTGAAGTGTGGGGAGAGGGGGTGGTAACTGTGTTTACAGATGAACAAGTAAAATGCATCTGAATTGTGGAAGAGCTTACAGTAAACGCAGTAGTATCCATACTGGCTGCTTTGCAACTTGGGATAATAGCTCCTAGTTGCAGTGATACTTCATTTGAAAAAAAAACCCAGTTCTTATATAAGTGAGTGAACTACCAAGATTTCTAACAAACAGTTAAGTTTGGGCTGACTTTCTACAAAGAAATAGCCGGTGGAGGATTCTTCCATGAACTAGCAGGATATTTCACAGCAGGAGGTTAAGCCTGTAGTGCAGTGATAGAAATTGTAATATGTAATGTTTTTGTCATTGCTGTGTAGATTAATTCAAGATTTCTGTTCTCTCTTTCTTCCCTTGCGTCTAGCAAAACTGTACAATCTAAAGTGGACTGCATTTTGGTAAGTACAACTCCAGAATGCTTTTTAATATTTAATAAACTGCAGGACCAAAATAGATGGCTCTGGAGGCTGGCAGCTGTTACAAAGCCTTTCCTTAGCAGTGCTTTAAGGTACTACCATTAAATGTGATCAAAATTAGTTCCCATTGCCAAAAAAAAAACCGATGTGGGTTTGGTGTTTGCTTTTCATGGAAATATTGACCTCTTTTTGCCTGCCACTTGTAAAACTGTCAGTATAGGTACAGAAAGGTGACTCAGTGCTTTTGTAAGCATGATTTTGTTAAATGTAAGATATGTATTGCACATATCAGAGTACGCAAGACACCAATTGTGCCTTCAAGTTCCATTGCTCTTTAGGTCTTTAATGACAATGATAATGTTGCTGTTTCCTTGAAACAGTTAATTCATGGCCAGTACTACATTTTAAGGAAGGAACTAGGTTGAACTGCATGTTCACACAAAACCTAGCAGACTAATGTCCTGGTGTGAAAATCTTGCAGCTGTCTTGCTAACCTCAGAAGTTGCACACTATCTCTGGCCCTGTTAGCTCTACTGTACTACTTAGGACAGAGAGATACCCAATTCCTTGAAGAAGGAAAGCCCTTGAAATTTATAAACATCATCTTCCTTTGAGCATTAAAATAACAGGATCTAGATTAGAGATTATCTAGCACGGTCTTGTAAAGAGGTTTTGTTTGTTTGTTGCAAATTTCTTTGTTGCAAATTGGAGTCTGAGTTCATGAATCTTAAGACTGGAAGGGGCTGCTTATTCTGACTTTCTACCTTCAGCATTTCATCCAGAAGTACCAGCGGGTGAGACAAAATGATGACATACACAACCATCTGGATACGATCAAACAGAATCTGTTCAGCTGTATGGCTGCGCTAAAGAAGAATACTCCTTAAAGTCACATTATCATAGGCTAATTCAGATGAAATTGAATTCTCTTTCCTTAAAATTTTGTCTTAATTTATTGTAATAAGAGGTTTAAAGTAAGCTGTATTGTTGTACTGCAAATGAACTTGGACCCAATTTTGCCTGTACTTAAAAATTCATGAATGCATCCAACTAAAACTGTGATGCAAAATGTCATTTTTGTCCTCATTATTGCTCATTGGCAGTTGTGGACACAAAGCAGGTGTTGTAAGATCTTGATTTTGTTGTTATGTGAGTCTTCAGTGGCAAAAGGGCAAATTGCACTTGCAAAGCTTTCAATACCAGGTTTTTCTGTGGTGAAAAATGGGAAGTGGGGCAGTTCCTAAGTAGCATCGGAAAGGGAGTACGTAAGTAGGAGGTTAACCAGTCATCTGCTTCTTGGAAAGCTGTTTTGAGAAAATGGAATGACATTGGACTTGCATTAAATTCTGCTTGCATTAAATTCTGTGGATTTGCGGACCTAGGATACTGAGATAAGGATTACCAGTTTGTGTGAGCCCATTTGTTTGTGTAGGTCTCATCCATTGGATGGACAAGCTCTTTTTCTGCATAGTGCTTCTGGAGGCAAAGCAGTCTCCATTGCTTGACTCAGAACAGAGCAGCAGTGTCCTGATGGTCTAATTTTCTGTTCCAGATGCCTCCTTGTCTGTCCCGCTGATGAGTTCAGAGGAGTCCTCTCAACAGTGGAAAGGCCACTCTAGGTTAGCAAAGGTAGATCTAATGCTGTTCAGGTAGTTTAAAAAAGAAAAATCCAACATCAGAACAGTTCCAGGAAGTAAAAATGAAGTTGAATTCTGACAAAATGGCTTCTGCATTTTTACATGCTTTTGGAAAACTGTGAGCTGCAAGACAGAATCTAAAAGTTAAACTACCAGACTGGGACTGTATAGCTCTAAATAACTTGTTTGGAGCTTCCTTGCAGCCCTGTCCAGTTTTGTCCTGCAGAAGGTAGGTGAGCAGGTTGCCTCTTTGGTGGAATGCGTATGGGTTTGTCAGAGCAGTCCTGTGATTGGGGTCCCAGCTGCCTGCAGAGAGTCAGACTCCAAGCTTGTGGGCAGGTCAGAACACTTCCTTTAAGTGCACTTTCTTACATGTCTGGTTCAGATAGAGACCTTTTCAGAGCCTTTGAATCAGTCTCATGAAGCATCAGGGGAGAATGTCTGTCCCTTGTCTCCCTCCTTACTTTAAGAAGGAGATCTAGGACTAGCTTTCAGTTATACTGGGAGGTGCTGATGATAACTTGGAGCATTTAAACTTGATCAGATCAGTTTGCTAGCAATCTTAAAAGGAAAAACAGCAGCAGAGGAAAAATCAGATTTGTTACCATTTGTATTTGGTAGCAGCAGTGTGCAGAGCCACACAATGCTCTTCAGCAGGTAGGCTGCCTAGTTCAACACAGGATGGCAAGAAAGAGAAACAGGAAGAAGAAACGGAGGTGATGGCAATAGTTTTGATTGTGGAGGTAGCTAGCAGCAGAGGACTGTGGAAGACAGCTACTATAAGGGCACTGGAACTGCAATTACTCATACAAGAGACCAAAGTTATTTGCCTTTTACTTGCTGGGCTGCACCGCTTGCCTTCTGACATACTGTCAGTTTCTGGAAGATCATAAGAGAATCATTGTATTCTGTGCAATCCAAAAAAGATAATTAGCAAGAATTGTGGTGTAAACAGCCATTAAAAATTCATTACAACATCTTTTTAACTGTAGTAAACATGTCTAGCAGTACATTCTCTTATGACTTTGCTTGTTATATTTGTTGCCACATACTAAGTGAACTCTTGAACTTGGTTTTTTTAAATTGTGTGCTCCATATAATCACTCAGCAAGAAGGTTGAAGTTTCTTTCCTTAGTCCTCTGCAAAGAGGTCAGTGCTGGTGAGAGTGTGCTGGATTGATGGCCATGAAAACCAAAGCTGGTGATAGCTGGAGCAGTTACTGTGTGGACAGCAGCAGGACCAATGTGCCTTGGTCCTGCAGCAGAGAAGGGGGTAGCTTGTCTTCTTGGCCCTCCAGGAGATGGGCAGAAACTCGATGAAGCTTTGGCTTGGGCACTGTCAGTACAAAGCTGCCATGTTTTTGGGGCTTGTTTGGAATATTTAACACCTGAAGTATGTTTCTGTTACTGTTCAGATAAAGCACATCGAAAGTATTTATTAGCAGCTTTTTAGAATAAGAGGTTCTGTTTCAAGTATTAGCTATTTTCAGTCTTGATCATGTTTCCAACAAACCATCTGACCTTGAGCAAATTATTTAACCTCTGCTTCTTGTTTCTCTATTCACAAAGTGGGGAGATGCTTGCTTGACTGCTCAGCTATTCTTAGTCTGGTTGTTAAATAATAGATGTTTGTTCTGCTGAAGTATGACAAGCTTTAGAACCAGTCTGCCAGTAGGTGGAAGTTACATTGCCATTGGCATAGCCTTTTTTGCTTCGATTAGAGTATAGGTATCTATAAATACTCAAAATGTGGAAAGAGATATTAAGATCACTCCATGCTCTCTTAAAATAGTAGTCTTCCAAAAAGCTTGCAGCAGTGCCCCTGGCCTTCAGCTCCTTTTCACCAGAACTTGAGGACAGAAATAACCTGTGGAAATATGAAATAGTTCAAATTTCAGTGCTGTTTTTCACTGTGTTCATTACGGAAGTTGTAACTCTGCTAATTCTTCCTTAGTGTATTCTTCCTCTATCTTATCTAAAGTTTGGCCTGACTAAACATTTTCTTCTTCAAAACAACCCAGAAAAAGCACATTCCCTGGAGTTTTCCCAAGGTAATTCCTTTTGACAACTTTAGGATGAAACTTCACTGACGTTGGTGACCTCACAGTGGGTCAGCAGGCAGAGAGAACCAATCCATCCTGGTCAGGAAGCCTTAAAATGATATTCTGTGGTTCTGAAGACTCACGTTCAAATCTCTAGGTTCTCTGGTTCAAGCAGGAACACAAGTAAACTCATGTTTCCGCTAACACAGATTAAATCCTTAACCACATTCTGTGTTGAACTGATTTTTGTCTTGTGCTACGAAAAGTTTCAGTGTCTAGTTAGTGTCTCTCAGAATGAAACCAGATGTCAAACCCTGCTATTTTCATAAAGAAAAACCCAAACCAAGAAACCCCAAGCTAAAACCAAACACAGCATACTGGCCATTCTGTTTTATTTCACAGCTCAATCAAAATGGCTGTTAGAATGAAAAAGAAAGTTGCATCTGTTCCTAAGAGATCCTTGTTGTGTGTGTCATAGGCAGCAAAAGGACAGATTCATTTGGCTGCTAATAATGCAAATATAAATGGATCTCTGGTTTAATTCGTTTGCTACATATGTTGTGCATTCCTATAGTGAGCTATCTATATTTGGTAACTGTCATATCAGAGATTACTGCTGCTTTATATGTTACTGAAAGTTTTTGCTTAGCTATGACTTGAAGTTTGTAATTCTTTGACCTTAGTTTTTCTGTCTCTGAACATAAGACCACTCAAGTTTTGGCTAAATTGAAGCGAAGTTGTGAAAATTAAGTATGAACACTGCTTGCTCCTCATCTTCACTGATTTTTGCTTTATTTGCTGTGGTTCCAGTTAGAGGAGATAAATATAATGCATGAAGACCAAGAGTAACAGAGGTGCTTTGTGATGGCTTTGCACCTCGGTCCTGCAAGCAGTTTAACATGCTTATGCAGTTTTCTAATGCAGCTTCAAGAAGTATGGTTTATAAATAGCCTTTGGAGAATTAGACAGTCTGATTTGATAGAACCAGTCAATCAAGGTCAGGAAAACTCAAGCTAGATTTTCACTTATAAGTAGCAGATAAGGATTCCCCAGACATTTTACATTCTGTATGGGTTTTAAAACTACTGCAGCATAAGCTTTAAAGGGCTATGCAAAGTGGAATTTGCCCAACATGATGCCAGCATCCCAGTCTTCCTTTCGATGTTTTGACTCTTTTCCACTCTGTTGACTTATTGACCTAATTGGGGGGTGGTGTAGGACAAAATTTATAGTATATTTTGTGTTCTGTTTCTTTTTATTCATTTCCATACGCATCCAACTTAGCACAGAGTAAAGCTCGGGGTAAATGAATCTCCTTGGTCAGTAGTCAGTAGGCCAGCTGAAATGTTCTTCATCTTTCTTTTCTGATTGCATTAAGAAATCAGAAAGTTCTGATGCTTTGAACAGTTACAGTAACAGAGTTATTACTGAATTCCAGACCTTCAGCACTGAGACTGGTGGATGTCAGCTGAGGTTGAAGAAGAGATTGTATTTACTGAGGTTGTAAACAAAGTTTTGAGAGTTTTAGAAATGTTTAGAGAAAACATGTTTAACAAATTTTTAAACTAAACAAAACATGATGCCTCCTGAATCTACTTGCACTGGCTGTCACATTCCATCTCTTCACTGCCACTTCTTCAGTTTTAAGATGATTTTCTCTAAATAGGTTCAGTCTCATCTAATAAGCTTAGGGTTATCTAATTATCACCCAGGTAGGATTACCTCTGTGGACTGCCTTGACTCCTGGCTGTGTGTTAACTCTCCTGTTTTGAGGAGCTCTTGTCTCTCCCCGGGGTTTCCCTGCAGCCATTGCTGGAAGCTGGAGGAGTTGTGCAGAAAGTGCTGCATGGGGCCAGGCATGGAGAGCAGTGGAGTTTTGAGTGACAGCAGAGAGAGATTACCACTGTCCAGCTGCTTCTGCTGAGGATGTGAGGAAGCTGTGATCCTCCACTGCCTCAGCTCTAGGGATGCACTTTTACTGCCCTTCCCTGCAGCCCTTCCTTCTGCCGGGACACAGCAGAAGTTGCTGCAGCTGCAGTGGGCATCAGGACTGCTTCGGTATATTTTGATTGAAGATTTAATGTTTCTTCTAAAACCTCACCTTTTATGTTGCACTCTGGCACGTCAGGTTTGGAGGTGAGAGGTTGTTTTCTTCCTCAGTGTCAGAGTAATGGGTTTTTTTTGTTTTGCTTGGGATGTTTTTGCCACATGGGTTGGCGCTTACCATGCAAAGTAACATCACCTGCGCTGCGTCCTTTGGTGTGCTGCTTTGGCAGCTGCTGCTTAAAACAAAAAGCTGCTGAGTTCCTCGAAGGAGAGGAGGTCTAATGAAGACATGCGAGTTTTCTTGCAGTCGTTAAATTTCTATCTTTTAATAAGTAAGTGATTAATTTTCTTCGAAAAACATTGCTCTTTCAATAATGGGTTTGCTTAAAGGAAAACTCGCCCTCTGTGACTTACGCAGGAAGAGAATTTGACAAACTGCACCCAGTTAAGAAATAGCTTTCTGGCTGTTTGGTGGTCTCAGCACCACTGCTGTGTAAGCTGCTGTAGAGCCACACAGAAATTGGGGTCAGCAAATTTCAGGAGTTTATCAGAGGGAAGAAAAAACCCACCAAAATGTTGTGGTTTGCTGCAGCTTATAAAAGCAACAAATCCGGTGTCTGTTACCTGGCTGCTGCTGGAAGTGTTTCTCTTGGCTCTCGGAAGGTCTGTGGCATCGCTGGTGGCCCAGTTCTGTGGAGCAGTTAGATGGTGGGGGTCAGCAGGCCCTGTGCCCCCCAGCATCCTTCCCCGGCAGCATGTCCCGGTCCTTGCCTAGAGACTGGGGTCAGGAGGGGACCTGTGTGTTGGCCGCAGAGCCAGCAGAGACGAAGTGGGAGCTCCGCTCTCTCTAGTACTGCTGTTAGTTTGGTGCCAGCTGAAGTGAGCTGTGTCTGGACATGACTGGGTAGGTAGGGAGCCCCAGGTTGAAGTGTTTGGTTTTTGACTGTAATCCAGAAGCTGTATTCTGACTTAAAACGGGATCATGTGAGTCTTTGATTCTTTACTGATGGTGTACCACTTCTGCAGCATCTTCCTGAAGGAGAACCCATTTGCTCCTTGTTGCATGGCTTTACTCACACTGCTGCAGAGGAGGCCTGGGCACATTACCACAACAGATTCTCTTAGTATTTCTAAGTCCATGTAGCTGGTTTCAGATGACCAAAAACTAGTGTGTATGTAGCAATCACTGTTTGCATACACCAGGTAAAACTCCCCTTTGTGTCTGATCCTCAGCTGGTATCCACTGAAATCACTGAGATTGATCTTAACTGAATGCCTTGTCTTCAGTACGTGTTCAATATCTCTGATTTCCAAAGAAAACAAAGATGCTCCACTTATGTATATAAATAGATCATAAAATGCCACATTGAAGTCTCTGATGCTTAATTACTAGTAAATAGTGGATTCGCAGCATCAGGTCTGATACCCCTGTTGTTACAGCATAGCTGGTTTTGATGCTAAAACTCCCCCTTGTGTCTGATCCTCAGCTGGTATCCACTGGAGGAGGAATCTGAAATCACTGAGATTGATCTTAACTGAATGCCTTGTCTTCAGTACGTGTTCAATATCTCTGATTTCCAAAGAAAACAAAGATGCTCCACTTATGTATATAAATAGATCATAAAATGCCACATTGAAGTCTCTGATGCTTAATTACTAGTAAATAGTGGATTCGCAGCATCAGGTCTGATACCCCTGTTGTTACAGCATAGCTGGTTTTGATGCTACGCTCTCAGAGCTGCTTCATGTGCGCTCTGAGAAGATAAAGTTTACACATTACATGTCTGGTTAACGAAGTGACCTGGGAAAATGTCAATAACAGGTTCTGCTTTTGTTGCATGTGAATTTTGTAATGAGCACAAGTGCTTTCTAGTGTGTGATGGTGTGCAAATAAAACAGAGAATCACATTTCTAGTCCCAGAGTGCTCGAAGTCACATTTTTTTCCACATAAGTAAATATGTTCTTGTTTAAGATGATGTTATTTAGGACTGTGCTGTTGGATGACAGTTTTTAGCTGTCAAACTCAACTTTATTGTTTGCCTTTTCTCCCCCTGCCCCACTGTTGTTTTGGTTTTTTTTTTAAACCACAACACCTTTGTTATCTAGCAAGAAGTTGAGAAGTTTACAGACCTAGAGAAACTCTACCTCTACCTTCAGCTGCCTTCGGGTCCCAACAATGGAGACAAAAGGTATGTGTGCAAGAATGTCAATGTGAGCAGCTAGTATTCAAAACTTACTTTACTTGCTGTGACACTTATCTGCTGAGGAACCATTCACATGATGTGTTTGGTAGCAGAAGCAGCCTTTACTAAACATTAGAGAGTCTTCCTGCAGATTGTGTTGTGCTGTTTTGATTTTTTTAACTTTGGAATCTTTAGTGCATGAATAGCTTGTAAGTACAAACCTCCTTAAAACGCAAGAGTCATTGGAGAAAGTGTTTTGCAGCCCAAGTGTAATTGTTCCTTCACTTTTTATGTAGGAAGTGATAATAGAGCAACACTTGTGATGGTGGGGGAAAGAGGAACTAATGGTATTTCTGGTAACATTTGTTTGACTAAAGGAAGGTCTAGAAAACGAAGCTGCAGATGACAACATCACAAAACTGGTACATGTTGTAGAATCATAGAATAGTTAGGGTTGGAAAGGACCTTAAGATCATCTAGTTCCAACCCCCCTGCCATGAGCAGGGACACCACACACTAAACTATGTCGCTCAAGGTTCTGTCCAGCCTGGCCTTGAACACCTCCAGGGTTGGAGCATTCGCAGCTTCCTTGGGCAACCCATTCCAGTGCCTCACCACCCTCACTGTGAAGAACTGCTTCCTTATATCTAATCTAAACTGCCCCTGTTTAAGTTTAAAGCCATTACCCCTTGTCCTACCACTACAGTCCCTAATGAAGAGTCCCTCCCCAGCATCCTTGTAGGCCCCCTTCAGATACTGGAAGGCTGCTCTGAGGTCTCCATGCAGCCTTCTCTTTTCCAGGCTGAACAGCCCCAACTTTCTCAGCCTGTCTTCATACGGGAGGTGCTCCAGTCCTCTTATCATCCTCGTGGCCTCCTCTGGACTTGCTCCAGCAGCTCCATGTCCTTTTTATGTTGAGGACACCAGAACTGTGCACAATACTCCAAGTGAGGCCTCACAAGAGCAGAGTAGAGGGCCAGTAGGATGTGTATCAGCCCACAGGTGCCTACAAGAAGCACTCTCAGCATCTGCTGGGTAAGGTCAGCTCGCAAAGTGAGTGGGCAGAGCTTAGAGGTGGTCAGTAAGGAGCTATAAATTTAAGAGGGGAAGTAGGTGAACTCTCACCCATCACTGTCCACTCATGGCTGTGTATCAGTCAAGAGCTGGAGTGTGGAGTCAGTGTGTTAAATTGTGGATGAAAGAGGGAGATATCTGCTGCCCATGTCTCATTTATAGTTAAGTGTGTGAGAGAGCATCCCTCGCTGTCTGTGGTGTCTCTGCCTACCTGTGTGGGCAGACAGTTATAAAGTCTTGTAACTGAGGAGCAGCTATGGAGCAAAGACTTGATCAGCCTTGCTTCTTCTTTCACTAGCGATCAGATCTCCATGTCGTCCAGCCGTGCCCAGCAGATGCACGCCTTCTCGTGGATACGGAACACCTTGGAAGAGCACCCCGAGACATCCCTTCCCAAGCAGGAGGTTTATGATGAATACAAGTGAGTGCTCCTGAATTGGAATCGTGCATATGGCTTTAGTGAGCATGGATGACACTAGCTCTACAGGCACTCTACTGGTGTACATGTATGAGTGCATATAGTAGAACAAGGACTTATATACTGACGTACCTGAGAATATTCTAGCTACAGTGAGGCAAACTGTATTCGTTGTTTCTGACAGTGAAGATAAGATTGTGATGTTCAAGTTGTACATTACATATGCTGAAAGAAAGATACAAGCTTTTTTTAACAAGTAAATGTCTGTATGAACATTGTTTTGGTTGGTGGACAGAGCAGCACAGGTAAAAAGCACCAGTTACTATCTGATGGTACCTTTTGGTCTATTTGCGTATGCTACCTTATATGACTGCATTAACTAGGTTGAGAGGTTGAATTGTTCCTCCTGGATATGTAGCTATTCTGCACATAAGATCTAGCCCATCACACCTTTCTTTCCAGAATAATGCATAAATATTGGACCTTCCTGCAGCAAACCTGATTTCTACAGAGGCACTATATATCTGAATATGTATGAAACCAGTAACCAAGGCCACTGTGAGTCTGTGTTGTCAAGTCTCAAAGCTACCATGTAACGGGAAAGCGATTAGAAGCAAGGGAGAGGGAGCTGTCTGACGGAAGTTGGATTTGAATTCATTTACAGAACATTCCCTGGGGCGGGAGAGGGGTGGTGGGGGGAGGAGAATAATCATCTTCAGCCCGGTTGCCTGAAGATGAATAACAGATTTATGATCTAGTATGAATATTTCCATAATCCGAACGATTACAGTAATTTGCAGTGAGCTGAATCCCTTCGCCTCCTAAGTGCCTACAGGATTCAGCCCTTAGTAATTGTTATTGCAGGGTTGCCTTCTGCGAATACCTCCTTTTAATTAACTCTCTCTGGTCAAGTTCTTTACTCTGAGCTGAAACACGATGGCATTCGCTTGCCTGGGGTTGATAAACATGCACACACCTATTTCTGAGCCGGTGCCATTGACTGGAGTGGTGACGCAGCCTGGAAGTGGAGCCAATGGCACAGACGTGCCGGGGTGGCCAATCCCCGAGCAGCAGCCGCTCGCGCAGACACAGCAACAGCGGCAGCTGCTGTGCGGGAGAGAGATGGGAACGTTGTTCTTAAATATATTTCTTATTAAATAATTTATGGCCTGCTTCAGCAACAAATCTGCTTGGCTTCCATGCTGTGCCAAGCTGCAGATGCCCGGAAAAATCATCATCTACAGATTGTGGAGTGTGAAATTTGGATGGCTTTTGTATGTAGCTGCATCAAGTATTTGTGTATTGTATTTTTTTTTCCTCCCCTAACAAAATAAGGGTGGTAAGCAAATATTCAGGAAAATATCAAATGTTTGGAATCTGTTCTCCTTTGAAAGCATCTGTTCTGTTTTTAAAATATTCAGTTTCTTTGAATATTTTCATGAGTTATTCTTGCACACCAAAGGAAAAGTAGTCTTGGAGTGGGAGGTGGGGAACAGACATAAATACATGAGAGTTAGTTTTGATAAGTCATTTTTCTTTGCCTGAGGGTGTTAAAACCTCTCAAAACTCACTTTTGTCATACTAACAACTTACCATTTCTCTCCTCTACGTACCAAGATAGACATTGCATGAGCTCACAGTGAGCAAGCTTATGCACTCCGCACTATAAATCAAAGTTACAAGGCTTCAGAAGAGTGACACGTCACACCAGCATCTCAACTCCTGCTCTAAATTCTGGTCAAAATAAATCTTGCAAAACTACTGGGCTTCTGCATCGCCTTCCATGTGCTTGGGTTGTGTTTTTTTCAATGAAGAGGGAAGACAGAAGCTTGCAATCCACACAAATCCACCACTGGCAAGTGCTGATGGTGTTTCCAGCTCCTCCATGTTTCTGTAGCCTCTTCTTGTTGAGCTTATTCCACACAGTGACTCTTCTGTTTTCTTCCTCTTCTATTTAATTGTGAATTCACATCTCTGACTGGATTACAGTGAATGGATTCCTCTGCCTTTTGAAGGGGATAAAATAAATGAAAACCACATCATAATACAAGGCAGTAGCACTTGGGAAGGTTGAGAGCCTGCAGCTGAATTTCAGAAAGGAGGTAGATGAGAGCTAGTTCACCTCTCTTGTTGGTGCTGTGAAGCTGCTTGAACTGATAGAACATGTTGGGCTGTAAGAAGCTTTGTTTCTGTGGGTACACACGGTTCTGCCAGCTTCTTCTGGGACTTATGGGAGACAGTCTGGAAAATACTATGGGAACTCAGGAGGAGCTGCCTAACATTAGGTATCCTGCAGAGAGTGGATGCTGCTTCCCATGAGATGCTTTCAGTGTTTTCTTCTAAGTCAGTTTTATTTGGGTATCTTCTCCCTATTAGTAAACACCCTTCTGGAGGCAGCCAGATGTAGATTCAGCCAGTTTAGGGAGTTAGGATTTTGAGTCTAAGCGCAGTCCTGCAGTAGGTATGCAGATAAAAATCCCCCTTTGTCCACAAAATGATTTGTTGAGCCTTCAGTGAACACTTGAGTGCTCTTACCTTACTTCAACTGCAGTGACGCAAGGAAAGAAAGTCATTCATGTTTAAGTTTGGTGCCCTGAAGATTCACTTGATATGCTTAATATGGATTATGAGGTCTTTGAGTCATCCCCTATCTCTTTCCTTTAGTCTGTAAACCATTAATCCTTGCTTTCCTGGCTGTTGGGCCACTCCAGTGCATAGATTATGTGCACTAAGTGTTAAGAATGTTAACCAACAAGTTAGAAGAATATTCAGAAGAGGGTGGTAGTGTAGGAATACCATGCCTGTTAAATAAAAGACACAAGATACTAGTCTTGTTAGATAGCACTTAACCAGTGTTCTGCGTGTAAAACTCCCTGATAGAAATAGGCTGGGGCCTGTTGTATATCCAGTCCTCTGTCATAACCAACTACCTATGTATTCCTTTTAAAAGCCAATCAAACTCCATCTAAAGCAGCTGTTCTCCACCTCTACTGCTGCTCTTGGGAGTCTGACCTGCACTTAATTTCTCTAATGGTTTTCAGACATCTGGTTTCCATCCTACCTGATTTTTCGGATTTATTTCTGTGCTAGGATTGTTTATCTGCTTAGTGAGAGCTTACCTCCTCTTAAGGTTCTTCGCTCTAACCCATTCTTAGAGACCAGTGTTTTTGCTGGATTGGATAAGCCAAGATCTTTGTTTCATTTCATGCGAGAAGTTCTTCATCATTTGCTATTCACATTATTTTTTCTGCCCAGGAAGCTATGTAGGCTGGGCTGCATGGCCTGACTGCCTTCATGGGCTTTTTGGGGGTGTAATTCAAGTGCACTCCTAGTGTCAACTATGTCTTGAGCACATATAATTTGAAGATCTTGGGGGTGGGGGGGAAAGGCCTTGTCTCCGTATCATGATGGGGAGCTCTGTACAAAGGAATGTAAGCAACCGCGTGCCCATTGTCATTCCTGTCTCTGCACAGACCTTCCCCCTCCCCCATCTGTTTCCCACCCACCCTTCAAATAAGCAAAACAGCTCCTGGGCTCAGTGATGTGCCAAGAGTGCAAGTAGCAGAGAAAAGAGCTTCAGGGAAGAGACTCCTGGTACGTGTTGTCAAGTCAATGAGAGGCCACAGATGGACATGGAGGGTTCTCGGCTGAGCCAGGAGGAGGGGGGGCCACATGGGATGATCTGTCTGAAAACTGAAATTACATGATAATGGCTCAGAAATCACAAGCTTGCAGGAGCTGCCAGTAGGGATATGAGGGGACCATGTAACTGGATGTTTTGCTGCTAGCAAATAGTTGTCTTGAAACAGATGTGCTAGACTTGAGGAATGGAGCTTTTTTTCCTTTTTCATTTGTTTATTTTCTCCTATGGAGGGAATAATTTTAACTTTAAAGTTGGTAGGTTGGTAGGTCCCTAATCCTGTGGTTCTGCTGGGTTATTTCTTTAATTTTGTTTCGCTGACGTTGTGGAGTTTCAAAGATACTGCTGACTGTGGCAGAGAAATTCAGAGAGCCCTCCTTTGCATGCTAGATGAGACTTGAGGTCCTCTAATCAGCGTAAGTAAGCAATAACGATCCACCTTTTAGGAATTTTCAGAGTAAAGTTGTTGGAGCCTGGCAAGATGCAAGGGCCGAAAAATAAACCTGCACAGACATCTATCACACGTAAAGCAATGCCTGATTCCTTAAGAGGGTGCAGTGAGGCAGGAGAAGTATTCCTTTGTAATAACTTCAAAGGGACATAGAATCCAGATTCCATGACTGACCTGCATTGAGATGAAATTGGATAAAAACCTTCTTGATCTCCCATATAGAGACTGGACTAATGGCTGACTGTATTCCAGGTTGTAGGCAACATCTCCCGGTTGGGACAGAGTGACCGGCTGGGGGGGGGGGGGGGGGGGGGACAAACACGCAAAAAGAGCATAAATCTTGCTGGTTATCATCACCAAAATCATTACATCTTTGGTGGTGCTTTCCGAGTAGAGGATACCTACATACCGCCAAGGCAAAAGCAGCAGATACTTTCTCTGTAGTAACTAGTATTTTGACAGAGAAAATAAATGCAGTGGAAGTATCTCCAGAAACATCTTTCTGCAGAGACATTGGGACTGGCCTACTTGGATGCAAATGCCATTGCTAATTGCTACCAGTTTTAAGAGATGATACTGGGCATGAAGGACCTGTTTCAGGAATGTTGCTCAGTCTGTCTTTGTTTTCCCATGCACGTACCTGTTCAGAGTAGCAGGCAATGTGGTTTTCTGCTCTCCGGCCGATGCCCACACGGTCACCTCTTCTTTTCAGAGATGATTGGGTTTTGTGCATTGCTGGTAGGACTTTTCACAGGAAGGGAGGTCGTTGCTGTCTGGTGCTGACTCTGTGACTGTAGGAAGTCTGAATGAAAATGCTCTGACAGTGTGTGTTTTGGGCCTTAGCAGGTAACATTTGTGAAATGCCACAAGGCTCTTGAACAAAAGGCTGTATGCATTCTTATCTTTGTGCAGCCTTAAGCGCTTACTGGGTGGGTAAATCTGCCACA